AGGACACGACGGCAGAGAGGACACATATGTAGGACAAAACAGGGGATAGAATACACAGCAAGACAGAAGGCACGGTCAAATTGGACACGGGGCAAGACAGGACACAGACAGAAAAGCAGGAGCAGGATGTGAAGCAGAACAGGACAATTGGGAACCAAACAAGACTGCAGAGTCAAAGGGCACATAGGTAGGACAGAATAATGAGCCAATCACACAAATCACAAGTCCTACACTCAACTGTTGGCGAGACTATCATCACCCCTGCCATCCTTCCTCAACCTCAACGCTGTTTGTGCTTAGGGTATTATTGAATCAATTAACACACATGCAATGGTAACGTAAAAGCGTTAACAAGCATACAAACGGTGCTATTCTTGAACGCATAACGAATGAATGATGCATTATTCGTCGCGACCTTTATCTGACGGTCCTCCCCTCAGCTTTTGTGCGATGTCGCCAATTTAGTTAGCGACTTTCGTCTGTCGGCTGATTGATCCAGCCAGGCAGCGCCACCTAATTCGGGGCCAATCGCTGATCCGCATGCAAATAGGAGCGGGGCGGCCGGCTGATCAGCAGTGAAGGAACAGTGGCCGCCAGTCAGGCCGACAGATTGAATCTCGCCGGCGCAGATTCAGCCGTCAAATAAGACCGCCCCAGCTGCCAGACACGTAATGGATCAGACGCTTATTTAATTTGGTCGTGGTAAATCAGATAATCGAATTTCCTACGCGATTTTGCGACGTCATCGTACGAGATTTGACGAAAATAGCGAAAGAACGGCATTCTGTGTGCTATGAATATACCATACTTATACCAGGAATACCATAGTGTGCACACTCAGCGTTCTTGAGAACAGTGTCACTGCTAGTGGTGTCAATTACGGAAAATCGGAATACCGATACCAAACCAAATACCAACCAAAACCGTGGGGAAATACCGAAACCAAACCAACTTGGGAAAATGAGGGAAATACCAACTTTTTTACCGATTTCTTAGCCTCTTAAACATTAGTGAGGGTTCATGATACCAACAAAATACCAAACACATTACGATTGAAATACCAAATACAAAGTTGGTATCGGTTTGGTATCGGTATACAAAGAAGTTGGTTATCCGATTGACATCTCGAGTTACTGCGTACTGACTTATGCAATATGCATTCCGCGCTTTAGGTTTCTAATTTACGATTTTCTTTGTATTTTTTTTTTACTGATACGCAAATGCATAAGTGCTTTAATCATTTTTATTCATGGCCGCAAAAAATCACTTTTGGTGTAAAAGGCCTTTCTAATTTATTACGTGGAATGACACCACTCACGCAAATGTGTCATTACCATTTAGACCTAATGCTGTCATGATGCTGGTAATGTCTACTCTCATGAAGAACAGCATATTCGCCTTACAATAGCCATTTTCACGACGGCCAGCTGGTACAATTTGGTGCAGTTTAGGTGCAGATTTGGTGCAGATTTGGACAAATTAGGTTCATTGTAGCCGTTTTCATGACGGAACTTTCGCAGAGGAACCTATTTGATACCTAAAAAGTACCTACTCTTTGAAGCCTTAACATCCCTCAAACTGAAATATTTTATGTTCAAAATAATTTTAGAAGTTTAAATCCGGGCATGTGTTTCTTAAAAGTTGTCCGTTTCGGATGCGCAGATGCTTATACACCTCATTTTCAAATTTTCAGGCATTATTTAAACCAAGACACTGAAATAAATCCATGATATGAAGATATTTGTTATAAAAGAGATTTGGTGCAGATTAGGTCAAATTAGGTGCATTCGCCAGGTAGCCCGTCGTGAAAACGGTTAATCCAGAATTGGAGGATCAAAAGCATGCGATAGCATGCTTTTGCATCCGGAAATTCCCATTGGTGGGTCGCTGAAAAAAAGTTCGGCTGAACCTGTTTGTCAGTGAGTATGTGTGTGAGTTTGTCCAAGCTTTTTTGGACCTAGAGTCAAAGTGGGTGGACCGATCGGGACGAAAGTGGGACCGTTTGATTCGTCTCCGGCGAGGTAAACTTTTGGTGCTGGCCTCGGTTCGCTCGGTGCTTCGTGGCACATGCTATTCCGCTTCAAAGTTTCGGTGACACGAAATTTTTTGTCAAGGCTACAGGTCAACCGGAGGTCACGGGCAAAGCCATACTGGCGGGACACATCGGTAACACCTTGAACCAGTTTCCAGGGGGGTCACCGTCTGCGAGGGGTGCAGGCTGCACGTGCTGGGGTCGGAAAACCGTTTTGACGTGAGGTCCTCTGGCTCAAAGAAATTTTAAGCTATCAACCTCAAAATCGGTTCAATGGTAGTCCCAGGCAAGGCCTCCGAAATAATGCACATTTGGTTGAGCTAAACTCTGTGGTGCATGAGCTATGCACGTGCAAGCCGATTGCACCCCTTCGTACGTTGCCACGCCTGCAGGGTAAACGGCAGCTCTAACTGGTTCAAAACTTGCAGGTCATAAGAAGAATACATTTGATCACGACATTCCGGCGAGATAATATCCGAGGGGTGCAAGCTGCGCGTGCGGGGGGCGGTTAACGGTTTTGACGATGGATCCTCTGATCACGGGAAACGTCGAGATAGCGACACCAAAGTCGGTACACTGATAGAACTAGACACATGCTACAGGATGCTATGAAAATGACTGCACTGGGGTGCGTGGGACATGAACTATGCACGTGCATATCTTACTGTAGGTAGATATCCACACCAATCTCACGTGCTTCCAAGCATTTTTGGGATGTTTCGGTTGGTTTCAGGTTCAGTCCAAGCTCAGTCTGGGTTTCGGTGGTTTGGCCCGGTGTGTGCCTTCAGTACCGTACCTCCAATTCTGGCCCAAGGCAACGCAAGAGCGCTGCCGGCATCTAGTATAGTCCAGAATTGGAGGATCAAAAGCATGCGATAGCATGCTTTTGCATCCGGAAATTCCCATTGGTGGGTCGCTGAAAAAAAAAGTTCGGCTGAACCTGTTTGTCAGTGAGTACCTATGTGAGTATGTGAGTATGTGAGTGAGTTTGTCCAAGCTTTTTTGGACCTGGAGTCAAAATGGGTGGACCGATCGGGACGAAAGTGGGACCGTTTGATTCGTCTCCGGCGAGGTAAACTTTTGGTGCTGGCCTCGGTTCGCTCGGTGCTTCGTGGCACATGCTATTCCGCTTCAAAGTTTCGGTGACACGAAATTTTTTGTCAAGGCTACAGGTCAACCGGAGGTCACGGGCAAAGCCATACTGGCGGGACACATCGGTAACACCTTGAACCAGTTTCCAGGGGGGTTACCGTCTGCGAGGGGTGCAGGCTGCACGTGCTGGGGTCGGAAAACCGTTTTGACGTGAGGTCCTCTGGCTCAAAGAAATTTTAAGCTATCAACCTCAAAATCGGTTCAATGGTAGTCCCAGGCAAGGCCTCCAAAATAATGCACATTTGGTTGAGCTAAACTCTGTGGTGCCTGAGCTATGCACGTGCAAGCCGATTGCACCCCTTCGTACGTTGCCACGCCTGCAGGGTAAACGGCAGCTCTAACTGGTTCAAAACTTGCAGGTCATAAGAAGAATACATTTGATCACGACATTCCGGCGAGATAATATCCGAGTGGTGCAAACTGCGCGTGCGGGGAGCGGATAACGGTTTTGACGAGGGATCCTCTGATCCCGGGAAACGTCGATCTAGCGACACAAAAGTCGGTACACTGATAGAACTAGACACACGCTATTAGAAACAGAAAGATGGCATGGCGCAGTCGCTATTAATGAAGTCATTGGGCTATGGATCCTCCAATTCTAGCCCAAGGCAACGCACGAGCGCTGCCGGCATCTAGTTATGTATGTACAGTGCACACTGCACGTCATCATAATATAAAAAACTGAAAACTAGGTAATTACCTATATTGTTAAGTTACTGTGCAATGTTCATGCCATCTTCGGTAACGTGGATCGGTGACTTGTGTGCGTAACCGCAAAGGTCCTAATTATAAATGCGCAGTCTGTTATCGAGTGATAATCTGGAATAAAACACATTTATAGTCATTCATAGTCTTTGGATTGCGACCGTGGATGCAGTGCAGATTGAATACGCATTATAAGCGGATTGTAATTATATGTAACAAACATCAATAACAAATGTTTCTGTAAAGCGTATTTATTTTTGCACATGTACGAGTATCCCCGGTGTATCCCTGACTGAAATATTTTGATAAACATCGATGCAGTCGGTGTTGGGCGAGCAATATATGAACTATAATAGCCACTTAGTTGACAGTGCAGTCAGTACGTAGCACTAAATAAACTCGAAGTATTTAGCGTACCATCCTCCATCTGTCATAGCAACCGCCAAAGTTTGTGCGAAACGTTGAAAGCTGATTACACGTTTGCGATAAATGCCATGGTCCTTGGTCATTGGTCATATTTGGAGATATTTGTCGTTTCAAGCTTCTGCCCTCACCAAACGAATCCGTCCCTCCCAGCATGCATCTGAATTTGAATACCACAGGTAAGATAAGTACTAAGCACCCACTACAGCCCCATGGGCCGTGGGTCATGGGTGACTCAGTACCAGCAGATACAACTAACAAGGGTCAGTTTCATACCCGCTGCCAGGTCACGTCGGAAAAGTCACACGTGATGGCCGGTGGGTGGATCTGGATATTGGATGGGTTGGATTGGTGAATCCGTGCCAGGGATGCCAGGGTGGGCTGATGCAAAGGTCACAACATACACGACCTGCTGGGGTTTGACCTGGACAGAGATTGCTGATGTCGACAGATCAGTGCCTACTCTCTGCGTTTGATACCGAAAAGTGAAGCATGTGAATAGTGCACTGCATGTAGCCATTACGTACTGATAAATGATGAAATTATGCAACGAGAAGTGAGGTGGAAAAGAGCATACAATTTTTCCATCGGCTTGCGTTAAGGGTTTATGAGCTTTATTTTATTGCACGTTCAATGTTACGTAAGAGCAAACTTGTTCAGATGGCAGTTCCGTTTTCAAAGAACTCACCCTCGTCAGGCATGCTGAACTGCACCAAGTCTTCCGAAAGCAAGTGGCCACTCCTATCAATGAAGTCGTTCCTTCTCAGGAGCTTCGGCACTTCAGCAGTCACCGGCTCGGGAACTTTTCACTCGTGATGGAATTAGAATGCTGCTGCGTTTCACTCTGTAACTTTTCCCCATCACAGAGTCTTGGCACCACTGCAGTTGCCGCCCGCTGATGCAATCTATCGCAACTCGGCGAGCAAAGGAGAGTTCACCTTTGCCTCCACACTTCAGTTCCGGTGTGCGGTCACCAAAAGTCACTCCAGGTAAGGTCAGGTCACGGCCGGTCGTCGCGCCCTGCCGAGCCTCTCCCTGCGCTCCACTGCACTGATGATGCCAGCGCCACCACTCGTGATGGCCGACAGAATAAAGCCATGCCAAATTCCTGGCCGGTCGGTGGCCTGCGCGGCCAACACAAGCACGTCAGCTCGGGGGCATTACCGTGTCGGAGCGGGTGTCGGCGGGGCCGCTGCAATGATACGGGGGCGGACACCTGGACGGGGGTGGCCCCACTCCCATCTGATGGGGAGTAAAGGTTTGATCCTTGAGGGGCGCGCGTGCATGGGGTCAAACTTTGATATGCTTACCGGAAGACGAGCGGTTCCGTCCACTTAAGTGACAGGGTATAATAGACTGAGGCTTTAAGGTTGTTACACTCTCTAAAAATCCAACGAAGATGACCCAAACGAGACATTTTTAAGAAAAGATGCAGACTGCTGAGAAATGTTGAAGAGGACGACAATGTTTATTGCATAAATATCTGACGCCAGAGGCTTTAAAATACCATTAAGACGTTTGTCTCATTTCCGCTTAAGCGTTTGTCGATAAATTTATCGTGTTTATTTAACCCGCGCGGGGCTGGGGTCTCCAGCCGAACGCGCGGGACTGGGGGGGGGGGGGGGTAAATTCTACCCCCCCCTGTTATCTCCCGAACTAATGATCCGATTTGGAAAATTCAAACGCCAATCGAAAGCTCTCATCACGAACTACTAAAAACATGTACTTAATTTAAAGTTTGAGGTCAAGGTCAAGGTCAGGTCAAGGGTACAAATTGCAAGTTTCTACAGTATCGGCCTTGCACCGTAGTTGCCGAAGAATGGAGTCATGGACTGAGACTGATCGCCCAAAACGTGTTCTTAGGCTACCAAGACAATATTCGTTGCATACAATATCATTCAGAGGTCAAGGTCAAGGTCAGGTCAGGTCAGGTCAGGTCACCAAAAAACAAAATATAGAAAAGGGCATGTGCGACACATGTTTTATGGGTCATTTTACTCATAGAATTCAATAGGCACACTCAATAAGTGATATGGACCACCTCTGGATGAATTTCAGGTCGAGGTCAGGTCAAGGTCAGGTCAAGTGAGGTCAAATATTGAAGTTGGTTGTTAAGGCCTAAAAAGGTGTCTATCTGATGCAGTTTTTCACGGCGAATCGAATGGCGCTATTTTTGCTTCCGTACGAGGTCTAGAACTTCCAAAAAAGTAATTTTTCAAAAAATTTGTGTGTCGTGACGTCATAAAATTTTGAATAACTCCCACATTTTTGAACCGATTCTTCTAAAATTTGGTATGTAGGTGCACATACACCACTTCTCTGACATATATTCCGGTTTTTTCGATAGACTCAAAATTTTGGATTTTATAATGATTTTCCCAAAAAAGTCAGTTTTTTGAAAAAAATTTAGGCCAAAATCCAAAATTTTCAAAAAAACGAGATAGCCATTTGATAGACAAAGTAAAATTACGTATAACCTTTTTTGTTACGTCTTGATTCCTTTAAAAATGAAGATGTTAGCGGCGTTTGAACTTTTGCCGTTTTTGAGGCGAAAATGGCGAACATGACGTCACTAAAACGTCAATTTCTCAAAAATTTTCCGACGGATTTCGCTCAAATTTTCAGGGAACGTGTCAAATTGATGTAAGAAAAGGTACTGAAAGTTTGGCGGCGCTGCACGCCGCCGTTTTTGAGATATCGCAAAAATTCGCGAGGGGGGGGGGGTAAAATTTACCCCCCCCCCCAGCCCCGCGCGGGTTAAAGGTCGTATTTGTCACGTTGCGTCGGCGCGCGTTGGCAAAAGGCTTCTGTCGGCTCCGACGGCAGCAGTCACGAGTGGAGCCCTTCTGATGAAACCGCCACCCCATCTGGGGTCAGCGCCAAATGTCGAGACGCCCCGACCTCCCGTCAAGGTGATCTCACTGACGCGGCGGTGAGCTGAGTGCCCCCGAGGGCCGCCACCGTACCTGGAGACAATCTCAAACTCCAGACCGACGATTTCGTGTCGCGCCGACAAAGGTCGAGACGTTGGATCACTCGAGCGGCGGCGTCCGACCCGCGGATGGATTTACGCGCCAATCCCGTCTCACACGCGCCGGTCGAAGGTCTGGAATTGGACGTGTCGCACGCGCGGCTCCGGTCGCCCTTCTCTGGGTGGTCGTCATTGGTAGACCACCCGCCAGATAATGAACTGAGACTAATGCGCCGGCGACGGACGGGTTCGGCGGGCGGTGGTGACGGGCCTGACTCGCAGAGACGAACGACCGCCCGCGGCCGCACGCGCGCACAGTGGCACACGTGGTGCGAGAGGAGTAGCGCGGCCGCGGTGTAAGGCCGGGAGCCGCGGGGTCGACAGGAATGGAGCGTGTTCTCGCTGCCCTGCCGCCGCTTTATTCAGCGTCTGAGTGGGTACTTGTGGTGTTGATGGCGTAAGTTGTTTGATCTTGGGTGGTGTCGGCTACAGACTGATGGATTTACGAGCGTTTCGAGAAGCCGTTAAGCGTTGTAATGGCTGACTGTGGTAGAGCGCTCATAAAAGCATCTTCAAGAACTTAGTGACCCAGTTCGTCCTCAATGCTGCATAGTGCCTTGGTGTATGTTAAATGCTTTACATCCTTTGCTGTAAAAAAAATGAAATCGCCATCGGTAAAAAACATTTGAGAACCACTGTTGCGAATCCTGGATGTTTTTTTCAGTTGTGCCGGCGGTATACGCATATTTCATTACGGAGCGAGCGAAGCGAGCGTAGTCTTTCCTTAGATTAACGGAAATTTCTGAGTATGAGCGGCCGGCCGGCCGGCCGGCCGGCCGGCCGTGGTCACGCTTTTGCGAGGCTTATATCTCAGCAACCACTTGACCGATTTACACGCGGTAATTTTTGGTAGGGTAGCTTCATTCCTTCTACCAAGTATTGGACTATTCCCGATGCATGTGGGTGACCCCTTATGCACGTGCCACGTGCAAAACGAAGAGGTGTCACTTTTGTAATTGTTGCAATATCTCGGTAACTACTTGGCCGATTGCGCTGAAAGTTGGCATGCAGGTAGGCACCCACTAGGCAATGCATATCCATGTGTCGGAGTTGGGGTGCTGCTGCACGTGCGCACGTGCAGGGGTCGATTCCAGATCTCGAGAACGGCTGGACCGATTGCGCTCAAATTTGGTACACGGTTAGGGACCGGTTAGTAGGGTGCCGTGCACAAGTCAGTTGGGACCCATTTTGCACGTGCGCACGTGCAGGGTGCCGCTTCCAGATCTCGAGAACGGCTGGGCCGATTGTACCCAAATTTGGCACATCGCTAGAGACCAGTTAGTAGGGTGCCGTGCACAAGTCAGTTGGAGGTACCCCCTCGCAATTTCGCACGTGCAAGGCCCACCCTCTCGCTCGCTCCGTTAGTCGCCCCAAAAGGCGTTATACTGGTAATAATATTGCCAATGAAAAAGCACACAGCACAATGAACAGGGTGTTTATAAAACATGAGTTCGCTCATCACTGTAAACGAAGTATCTGAGAACCTTTCCTCACGAGGAACACTAGGAGAATATCGAAAGAGGACTTATTTGTCATTTTGGCTTTGGCAGTCAGGTGGAGCGGGAGCAGTCAATTTCGAACAGAGAAAATAAAGACGCGATTGGTATTGCTTCATTGCATTGCAGTGCTCAATGTCTACATGCCAAGTTTCTTCCTTTGTTTCTTAAAGTTGCTTAAGTGTTAAGTTTCTTAAAAATCATTAAAAGATTAGAGCAAGTAAGAAGAGTGAGCGATTCGCCTTTTTCCAAGTCAAATAGCATTACAGTCTTAGCGACTTTACGGTTGTATCTTCGGCCCTTCGAAGCAGCTACACTATCGCCATGCAGAGCGGCGCAGCCGTCAGCCCGCTGGCGGCGCCCAAGGGCACCAAGATGGTGTGTGAGCTGTGCCAGAAGCCGGCACTGCTGCTGTGCACCGGCTGCCGGTGTGCCTACTACTGCTGTGACGACCACCAGAAGACCGCCTGGGCGGCCGTGCACTCCAAGGTGTGCCGGCTGGTCGGAGCGCTGGGCAGCGCGCGCGACTTCTGCACTCTGGAGGAGCGCCGGCTGCGCGACGAGACGGTGCGCCAGCAGAAGGTGCGCATCATGCAGATGTCCCTGGTGTGCGGCACGCGGCACATCTACAGCGACCGGCCGGGCCTGACGCTGCCGGCCGCCAAACAGGCGCTGGCCATGGCGGCCGAGGTGTACGGCGCCGCCAGCGTGGAGCTGGTGCGGCCCTTCCTGATGCTGGCCACCGCGTGCGTCATGCTGGGCGAGCTGAGCAGCGCAGAGGGCTACCTGTCGCAGGGCGAGTGGACGCTCATCTACTCCAAGAGCGAGGACCACGCGCTGCGCTCGCAGCTGTTCTGGGGCTGGGGCCGTATGCTGACGGCGCGCCGCGACTGGCTGCCGGCCAAGTGGTGTTTTGCCGAGACGGTGCACCACAGCTCGGAGGCGTTCGGGCCGCAGGACGTGCGCTGCACACTCGGCTACTTCTGGCTGGCCGAGACGCTGCTGCGGCTGGACAAGCTGGACATCTGCGCTTCGCTGTTCCGCGAGATCGTCACCATCTGGCACCAGTTCTTCTACGCGGGATCCTGCAGCGAGGAGCCACCGCGCCGGCTGGACGACACGGAGGTGATCGAGGCGCTGCACGTGCTGACCGCCGTGCGGAAGGCGTTCTCTGCGCCGGACTCGGCCAGTCGGTCCCAGACGGCCTCTTCGCGGATGGGCCTGCACACCAGCTCCGGAGGACGGCACCAGTGGTGGAGAAACGAGGAGAACGCCGCCTGCGTGGTCCGACTGGACGTGATCCTCAACCGGCTGAGAAACTACAGCCCCGGCCTCGAGCTACCACAGGTCCTCATGAGGTGAAAATAGTACAGGCCGTCTACTGTGTAGGACTGCCCGACTGTGAAGCTATATGTACGGCTGTCTGTTTTGTGCTCAGTTCTGAGCTGCTGACGTGTTTTTTTAACAGAAAATTTATTAGTGTCGTATTTATACAGCAGTGCTACGCATCTCGGGACGTTTTCTTCAGCAGGTTTATTTTGTATTTTTCGATAAGGAATCGGTGATCAGATAATGGTTTGAATCGAATCACTCCAATACTATACATCAAAATCACGTGGCTCAGTCCCCGTATATTTCAAAGGCTGAGGTCACCCCGTTACGAAGTCAAACGTGTCTTGAGCACAGCGCTCAGCACCGTACAGTAAGAACGAACCACCCAGATAGAAATGTTCAGCCGGTGACCTCCCACCCTCTCTCCCACCTCTCTCCTTCCTCCCCCTCTGCCCGGCCGAGGGCGTCTCGCTAACGAGCGACGAGCGCTGGTGGTCACCATTAATCACTCGCGGTCACCGGGTTGATCCAAATGCACCATCCATCTATTGACCTTTGGGCTGCTCCTTCACAGCTGCTGTCAGGTAGGCTGTTAGAGAGCGAAATTTGGGCCATCTCCAGACAGAATAATGACTGCACGCACCAGTGTGATAGAGAGAGGAGAGAGAGAGAGAGAGAGAGAGAGAGAAGAGAGG